AAAAAAAAAAGACGCAAAAGTGTCTCAGGTTAGGAAAGTAGCCAATAGAAGTAACGATTGAGATTGCCGCCTGGGGATGGGGCGGCAGAGAGCTTTGGCCTCATCCGTCACAGGAGGAAGTCGATTTGTGTTTTTATAGAAGGTGTCTGAAATGGGCAAGTTAAGAAAGAGTCAAGCGAGATGGTGTTTAGAGATGTGGAAGAAACCAGCAGAAGAAATCGTGAACGAAGGAGTTAAAGCGCTTGCCTTGGAGAATCTGGATTTGGGAGAGGAAGAGGTGGGGCACAGGACTCCTGCTTTTTATTGTGTGCTCTTTCGAACAATTTGATTTTGTTGGGGCACAAGAATTCCTGTTCCCTTCGAGGTCCTTGTGGCTGAACTAAGAATCAAATTGGCATGAGACAGAAGAAAACCATATTTAATAGCGTACACGTGGGCAATCCGCATAGACATGGCAATTCCAAGGGGAGTCCAACACAATGAAGTATATATGTCATCCTGAACTGAGGAGAAGTGGGTAGGTGTCTGGGTCTGCAAAGGGAAGGAATGTAACCTTCAAGAAGATGGAAAAGAGAAAATGCTGGGTTAACAAATGTTTACATTTGTTATACTCAGAAACAGCGAGACACAGAGAGGAATTTGATCAGACTTTGCTGAGTTCCTCCCTGTCTACCATAGTTCGTATCAGGATATAGTTATCTATGGTGATAGCTCTCTTCCTGGAGCAGGTCCTCTATCACAGTTCTACTTAGGTAGTTGTAGGGTAGGTAAAGAGCTTTTTCTGAATCTGCTGGGTCTTGATTGCTTTTAACTTAAAATAATCTTTATGTCAGAGTGGCCCATCTTGGGGTGGCCTGCCTTTGGCCCCTACAATTTTTTTTAAGTAATCTCTTTGACCAACATGGGGCTTGAAGTCACAACCCCTAGATCAAGAGTTGCATGCTCTACTGACTGAGCCAGCCATGCACCCCAGGCCCCTACAATTTTTAACCACGTGCATGACTTTTGACTTTTAAAAAACTACTTATTAATGTCAGCTTGAAGATACCATTGAGCAATTTCAGTATCTTAAAGTTCAGCCCAAGGATGATTTCATTCAAGCCTGGAAGAAGGTAGAACAAGTCCTCACACCTCTGGTTTATGCAGGTTAACCTCGTTGTCTCCAATATGGTAGCTGCTCGCCCCATGAGGCTGTTCAGCACGTGAAATGTGGCCCATCCTAATTGAGATGTGCTGTGAGTTTTAAATACACACTGAGCTTCAAAGACAGCATAAAAAGAAGAATGTAAAATACCTAATAACTTGGGGGTGCCTATGAGTCAGTTGGTTGGGTGTTTGTCTCTTGATTTTGGCTTGGGTCATGATCCTAGGGTTGTGGGATCGAACCCTACCTCGGGCTCCATGCTGAGCATGGAGCCTGCTTAAGATTCTCTCTC